TCCATTAAACCACCAAAAATACACCCGAGGCTGGCGGACTCGCACTGCGCGCCAGGCTTCGCAAAACAGCCAGCATTGCACTCTTTTTCTTTCTTCGCTGGTGCCGCCAGCCATTGTGGTTCGGTGGCCCCAAACCTCCGGAATTTCTGGAGTGAGCCATGAGTTTTTCCAAGTTGGCTTGGGGCGTGTACTGGCGGTTTGAAGGCACGGACTGATTCCAAGGATATATATACATATATATATATATATATAGAGAGAGAGAGAGAGAGAGAAAGAGAGAGAGACAAACCTTAGTAGAGGGAGTAGAGGCAAATAGAGAAGCATTGAGAAGTGTGGATGAGAGAAGTCTCAGTGAGACTGACAAAGTGTTTTCCAGCAATCTAGCTCGCCTTCACACTGCGTACCTATAGCTGGACCGCATTCAGGGATCCAGCTCAAATGGTTCCCTTCATCACGATCTACACCTGCCAACCTTTATTTAGCCTCAGAGGCCACTCCTACTACAGTTAGGCGGCCCGGCTGCTTCGTTCCCGCAATTTTCCCCTCCCCTGGAGGCTTGGACGCGAGACCTTAGACCAGTTAGCTTAAACCACTACCTTCTTCCCCCGAATACAACGTACGGTCATTATATTTTCTGTCCAGATGCAGCGATAATGACCAGGCGTTCTATTCGGGGTGAAGACGGTAGTACTTCCAGCCCACTTTCTTCCGGCGCTCGGAAAACCCCATGCTCGATTGTGGTCCGGTAGCCCCGAAGCCCAGCAGAATTAACGTCAAGGGCCCGCAGCCGATGTATGGGCCAAGTGCTGGTCGTGTATAACCAACCATACAGTCCTCTCCACCACATGTGACTGTATCTGCAGGACCGTCATCGCCAGCTCTTGGTAAGTCGACCAAAACAAGGATGGTTCAGCTGGTCGTCTTCGCAGGCGACGAGGAGGAGAACCTGGATGCCTGGTTGATGGCAGTACCTGACTGTATAAATTAGAATGAACGGATACACACCGGTACACAGGGAGGTCATTGTTGGTACCTACCTGCTTCTTGCAAACGTCGGTAGCGACGTAGTTGAACAGACAGTTAACAGAGGATGATGGCTATCCCAGGGATGGAACCGTGTGGGAAAGAAAGCATACTCTACAACAGTTTGCTCCTTTGTTCGCTGAGAACTTCTTTCGCGATAGGACTAGGGCACAGAAGGCCACAGACAATCTTACACTGCTAGAGGCTCGGAAGGTCCACAGGGTACCATCGTGCCGAAGAAGGTGGGAGTTATAAAAGTGTCAAAAGCTCAATACGATGTACAACATACTGTTAACGAGTTACCTTGAGCGCACCGGGGAATCTTTTGGCTGCAAAAGCTACTACAGTCGTTTCCGCCCAATACAACGTACGGTCATTACAGCTGAATTTAGACTGAAAGATACCCCAGATTCAGCTATAATGACTGTACCTTGTATTCAGGGGAAGACTTAGTATCATAACCCTGCATCCTTCTCCAAAATGGCCTTAGATTTATAGGCTAGTCTTGGAACCCGCGAGGTAGGGAAGAGAGGTCCGGTACAAGAGTACAAGCAACTGGTCCATGCTGCTTGGAAGATGAAGGGACACCTGAATGTCAACGATGACGATCACCTTCTTCGTCAAAGAAGAGGGTGGCAGGTACGCTCGTGGAAAGACTACACAAAAATTTGTCAAGATAGCTATTGGATAGGCGTCCGCATGACATGCGGTGAATCGGGACATATTATATTACACCACCAGTCCTTGGGCCATACATCGGCTGAGGCCCCTTGTCCTTATACACGCTGCAACTTTAGGGGCCCGTAGGCTGCGGTTTATAAATCTCATTGAGGCCCGGTGTCACGTTTACGGCCTCCGAAAGTTGCAGCGAGGGGCCCGCAGCCTATGTATGCGCTAAGTACTGGCGATTCAAAAGCTGATGCCCAAAGGGAAACCAAACGAGCCAGGAGGAGGAACCCCTTTTACACATTATCTTTAGAGGATGGAGAAATAATCCGACTAGGTCATTAGCACGTTCTCCCTCAACCTCTCAGGCAGCAATGGCAGCATCTACCAACTTTTTTTTTTTTTTTTAACAAATCTAAATTATTCTCTCAATCTACCTATGTATATTACTTCACATCCATCTCATTCTCTCTCATTGTCTCGCTACTCTATGTATAGTACGGGGGAACACCAACCAACCAAGCTACCAAACTTGGAACAAGCCCCAGCCCACGGGGTAGGCTTGCACCACAGCAGTTGTGAGAGAGCAAGGCTTTTTTTTTTTGTATCAGCCCCTCGTCACGGTGGTGCAGGGTGCTCAGGCATCGCCGATGCGGGAAACCGGCGATGCTAGTGCCAAGCATCTTTGGCCAGTCCCTTGCACCTCCCCCCCCCTACCCCCCCCTCCAATCCCACCTCAGCGGTGTCTAACGGCCAATATCGTTGCTGCATAGCAACCAACAATATTGGCCAAGGTCCTGCCAATGCTGGCTTGGCCGGCGAACAGGCTACCTCTGGCTGATGATAGAACACCAACCAAGCATGCCCAGGCACATACGTGAGGCCAATGGGCATATTGAATTCAGGAACTCCTGAATGCAACCTTTGTGCCCTACCAACTGAGCTGGCATTGCCCCACAATCACAACCTGGCCAGGAAATGCTACGTTCTCGCAACCTGACAGAGTCCTAAGAGGAGGTGGAGGTAAATTTGAAAAAACTTAGTTTTTAAGGTGATGATGGCAAAGAGTTCCAAGGGGAGTTCACCGTCAAAGAAGCAGAAGTGAGCGGCCGTAAAGCAGGGGTCGTAGCCGACATAGAAATGACCCACAGTTACATCAGTCAGGTTTTTCCATTCGACTCCACGAGTGAAATGAGTACTGTCCATTGAGGCGAAGTGGCACAGTCTGCGACATATAAATGCATCATCACTAGTGTCTCAAAATCAATTGAGCAAGCTCACAGGTCGCCTTGGTTTCAATGCACCTGTAGCCTTCGTGTCGCCAAAGAGTTCAGACTATGTCATCATCATCATCCCAAGCAGGGACGTCTGGCGTATTCCAATGGAATCAGACGAGTGAAAACAACGCTGAATTACCAGCGGGCCTAGCTCCGTCAGTACACCCATGACCCATTGAAATACAGACCTCGGCCCGAATCTCTACACCAACTGAGACAAGTAAACAGTAGCGCTGAATTTACCTGGGGCCGGTTAGTACGTATATAGACGTTTCTCAAGGCCGTCGCCCTCTTTAAAGAAAAAAGAGGGAAAGCAAAAGAAAAAAAAAACTGAATTTACCTGGGGCCACTCATTTCAAGAACGATATCTTAAGGCCATCGCCCTTTTCGAAAGGGAGAGGAAAAAAAAAATTAAAAAAAAAAAAGCACTCTTGTCGGTTGAGGTTTGAAGGACTGCGATGTCAGCGTCATGGCCTTGGCATCTAAGCACTGAGGTATAGGATCATCTTCTTCCCCCCCCCCTCCCCCTCCTCCTCCCACCTTCATGTCAATTGTGAGCAGTCACTACCATCTTCCCCCCACGGTACCATCTTCCCCCCCGAATAGAATGTATACTGTCATTACCCCCAAATCTGCCCCAAATAAAGCGACACACATGACACCCCAACCTCCTGAAGGCTATTCACCTGCTCTAGCAGAGAAAGATGTTTTTTTTCAATTTAAAAAAAATCAAATTCGAGTATTTTTCTCCATTTCCGACCGGACATAGCTTACCTTATCTGCAGTGTTTTTGCAAAACTTCCACAATCAGGAAATACTCGCGTTCGGCGCACCTTTTTCACATAAAACATGCTGACAGTGCGTAACAGTCAGTGAAAAGCTGCTTTTGCAGCGAGTACGTGCTCAGTCTCACAGCAAAGCCACAGAGAAAGAAGTGTTCCTCGTGCCCATTCAGTCACACCTATAGTGCAGAGTGAAGTGTGTGACAAAGTGTCAAGCCGAGTTGAATTCATCCCACCAGGCAACATAAGCACCATATATCTCCCGAGCCGGCCTCGGAGGTGCGAGCCTCCTGTTGCTCGGTTTGACCAAGTGCTTTTCCACGCGCATTTCGGCAACGCTACCCTTGGTTGATTTACTCCATAATAAATACAGGAATGAGACCGGACACCCACTTCTTTGCTCTGTTAGTCTCGCGCCACGGTTTAATAAATATTGAGTGGCATCACAACAGTCTGCCATTCTTACACATTAGATAACGTGCGCAATGAAGCGCAATGTCATTTGGGACATGGACTAAACCACCTATACCTCTGAGTCTCTTTTTCCTGATGCATATTTCCGCCGTGTGCCAATAATTTTTTTTAAAAAACCGCGGCACTGGCGCATTTCATTTCCTTCACTCTAGGCAACCCCGAAAATCGCAACACGTTGACGGTCGTCGCGCCAGAATGGACAGGTCTGGTGCATTGTCTGCCGGCATGTGCAGGTGAGACACAAGATAAGTTTAGTGCAGTCAATTTGAAATACAGCCAGCACTTCAGAGCCCTTTTCCCCGATGCCAATTTCTGAGGTGAGTTCCGTTGAAGCAGCGTAGGCACAATTTTCTCTTTCTCTTTGGCTGGCGGCACCAGCCTTTTCATATTCAGTAGGCCGAGGACCGAAAGTCACACTGCTGCCTGTGCGGCCGCGTCGGAACAGTTCGCCTGCGGAAGTCATTGTCTACTGGCAAGTGCACGTCAGACACAGCAGTGACTTGTTTACCTTTTTTTTTTTTTTTTGGTGGGGGTGGGGGGAGCGGGGTGAGGGGAAAGCAACAGCTCGAAGGATCGCCAAAGAACATCCTCTCACAATAGCCACAGATGAGCTCTCTCGGCTGCTGCAGTTGAAAAAATGGCATCGCAACACCGCTGCGATCTTTACGCTCGACATACAGCCTCAGAAGCTCCAGGCAGATTGCAGCAAAAGTTGTGTGTCTTAAAAAAATAATAAACATATACAACCGTGATTCATCGGCCAGGTGTGCACAGGGAGAAATGAAGAGGGTGCACCCAAAACAGACAGCCAAGTGCGTATGTGCGCATTGGTGCCACGACCATAGCTGCTGTTCCTCAACCAACCATGGAGAGAGACTCAGAGTCTGCATAGACAAACAGCAGCAACACACGTCAGAACTCCCAGGCATCCTTTCTGCACAGGAGGAAGATCACAAGCAATACACTTTGAAGAGACGAGAACAGAAAAACCAAAACCACCAGTTGACTATCACAGAGGAAACACCCCAAGCAACGCATGTGAAAAGAAAAACATTTACCTGATAAAGGCATCATACTTCCACGACTTTCACCACCACCAGCAGCGACAGATAACCAATAAATGTTGTTCTCGCCAAGAACATTCTCGGCCTTGTCGGCCCCCCCTCCCTTAGCGGCCATCAACGTGAGCAAGGTCGAACAGGCCACATGTTTCAATAGACAACACTCTTGAAATCATGTGGCACAACCCTACCCCTTGACCCTTATTCAAGCGGACAACCAGCCCCGCAGAACATAAGAAACCTGCACACAATTGGAACGAGCATGCACCAAACAAAATCCCTACCATTGTAGAAAGGCGGAGCTCCGGAAGGGCGGCCAGGAAACTCTTCCAAAGTCAGGAGAAGACACCAACTCTCAACACGTCCGCAGGACAACGGTTTCCAGTCGAAGACAAACGCCACAAGAGGATGCATGTGCTGCCACCAGCTGCCCCGCGTTTGCCCAACCCTGTGACAGTCCGAACCATCTGTCGCAGCCAAAGCCTCACAAAAGAATGGAGAAGTCATTTCAGCAGCACTTAGAGACATGCTTTATTACAGAGAGCATCTCCACTTGTGGTCATTTCATAGCAAGACATGAGATTGACCAACAAGCAAATTGGATGCAACCCCCCTCTTTAAAAACTGCACATCCACAGATGCTCTGACCCTACTGCTCTTCGTGCAGATGCCTAGGTAGCAGTCTACCTGCTCACTCTCTAATGCCAGCAGTTCTAGTTGCCGTCCTTCCTTCCCTGAACCCTTCCACTGCGGCATCCTTCCCTGAGTACGCATGGCCAACCACACAAACTATAAAGAAATAACAAACATCGCGGCGGCAAATGCCAAACACTGGCTTCCTCCCCTCCTCAGTCAACGTGACCTCCACCTCCCCCCCCTTCCCTTACCTACTAACAGCAGGACTACTCTGCACCGATGGTATATATGATGATGTGCTCACTATCATGTCCGTATGAATAAAGCGGCACATTTGGCTTCCCCGTTTCTGCTCCCATCCGCGTCCTGAGCAGCAGCATTCATTGCCAGATCCTCTGGAAGTGAAGCAGGATCATCCATCGCCTTTGTACTTCACCGACTCCTGTTCTCCCAAATTCGCCCCCACCTGCCAAGCCCCCCACTCAAAATGTATCCTTCTCATCGAAGCTAGACTACTTATTAATCACTGGAGCATTCCAAATCCATATGTTCCGAGCCACCAGAACCACCATGCATGTGTCCGACAATCAACCACTCCTTCAATCCGTTCCTCTTACCGCACCTGGGCTTGTGAGCAAGTTAGCCCAGAGGCATCAGCTCCGATGACAGCAAGATCGCAAGTGCTGCAGATTCTTCCATCCATCTCGGGAACAAACCTCGAGCCGCAGAAGGGGCACGAGACTTCTTTGCTGCCACGGTAGATCGGCGTGAATGTTTCTGCACAGACCACAAACGGATTCCTTGGGTCGTAGTTAATTTGTATATCATCCTTGGGATTTCTCTCGCACACCTGCAATGCCTTTCTAGCATTGTTGGCAACTGCGGGCATAGGATTCAATTCCAGCAAACGTCGGCAGAAAGTGGCAGTTGTGTTATAGTTCTTCAGTTTGTAGCAGACGTGCAACGCACTCTGGAGACTGAGCTTCAAATGCGTGGGCTGCATGTTGCAGTGGGTGAAGTACGCAGCGAGCTCCATCTGCCTCTGCGGATCATCCCTAAGCTCTCTCCTCTTCAATTCGATTCTCAACGCATTGACATACTCCCTCGCGATTCCCAGCAGCTCTTTCACCTCATCCACCTCCCTCCGGCTGTCGACCACAACAAGAGGAATTGTGTGCAGGATGCTCAAAAACACTTTCAAGGCCTCCGTGAATTTACCGTCAGTTGTGCTCTTGTAGGCCACCTTCAGCCTCTCCTCGAGCAAGCTCAGCTTGTACATAACAGCGGGCAGTCCTGGCGTGTTCGGTGGGCTCGACTCAGTCCAACCTCTCTCAAGGCCACACGACATTCCAGGAACGAGGGACACGCCTGGCAAGACTGCATGGCTAGCCAGGTGAAGATTCATCATCAGCTCCCTGAGAGGAACAAAGTTCTTGACGCCCAACTGGCGGCTGAGTAACCGCATGGCCGTCTCAAATGAGCCCGCTGCGACATGCTCAGCAGCCAAGGCCGATTTCTGAGTCCATCTCTGGGTAGAGGGAACCCCAGGCGAGGGCGTGACAAAGAATGTCCCAGGTGCTCCAGCATCGGCTGCACTGTCATCCGCAACATCAGCGGGAATGTCCAGGTCATTCATGTTGCCCCACCCACCTTCATCATCCTCGGCTCCTTCCTCCTCATTACCAGTCTGCTCTGGCTGATTGACAACTTCACCATTCTCCCCAACCACAACATCAGGGAGGTCGACTTCTCCCCATCCGGGTCCAGCTGCCTCCTCTTCCTCGGGCACCTGCGTCTCCGCCAGCGAGCCATCAAAGAAGCCCTTCGTCACATTCAGTAGAGGCCAGTTTTCCTCCCTCAAAATTGGTGCGGGGGGCAGAAGTAACTTTGCAGAATCGATATCCTCGGGCAGGGGAGGGGTGTGCTCTCCTAGATCCGCCGCAATCCTCTCCGCTACGTCCTTGAGACCATGCACAGCGGCTGTCAGATATGCAAGAGGAAGATGCCCGGCCTCCTCAAGAATCCGAACTCTTTCAGCAACGTCACCCAAGTACAGCGCATTGTGGAAACGCCCCATGACGTCGTTCCTCATCTCTGCAATCTTCAGCATCTTCCTCAGCTTCTCCAGGTTTCCAGTAATGAGGTACAAGAAAGACAACCGCTCGTAGTTCTTTGTCTTCTGATACGAGAACTCCACAATCTGGTGGTTGCCCTGCCGCAGAGCCTCCACTCCAAGCCGGTACCAATAGTCCTTCTCATCAATTTCATGCGCAGAAGCAAGCGCAACCTCGATGTTCCCGCAGTCGATGGCAAGATTGAATCGAGTGCGTTCATCTTTCACAAAGTGCAGGGCAACCTCCGGGAAACCTTTCTGTTGCAAGTAGGCAATAATCGACTGGCCGCAGAGTTGGGAGCTCCTGATCATCTGCAAGACGTCATCGTACTTCTTCTGAAGAAGTGCAAGCTTGAAAGTATACTCCGTGCAATCTATCTGAATCACTCTGTTCTTGCCATCGCGATCCAAGCAGAAGACAGAATTTCCGGACACTCGCGTCACGTACACCGGAACATCCAGAGTGCGGATGATTCCACTATCTCCGTTCGGCAGGCAGTACTTGATGTGATTGAGCGTTGTATACACAAACACTCCACTGTCGTCCCAGGCCCCACTCTTGACCCTGATGGTCTCATGTATTGTGCACTTCTGAACCAGCTTCTTTGATGCAATGATGACAGAATGCTTGCTCAGAAGCGCCACGTGGTTCATGTCGCCGGACCACACCACATACTTGACAAAAGGCGTGCTGAGTTCACCAACAGCAATCCGCTGCTGAACATCAAACAGGACAATCCGATCGTCAGAGCGGCACAGCAGGCTGCCTGTCCCAGCATAGAAAATGGCATCTGTAGTTGGACACGGAGCTGGGCACTTCTTCGTCACCTCGTTCCTGAGGTTCTTGATCAGGATCTGATTATGGACCTTGTCAAGCACCGCAAACCGATTCCTCGCAACAAACACCGCAGATGCGCCCATCGATCGCTTTCCCTCCTGGCTGTCGCTCCTCCCAGAAGAATCCTTGGGAATTACGTAGAGCTCATACGACCCTCCTTCCACATCCGAACAGACCAAAACCGCATTCTCAGCAGGATTATATGACAGGGACCGAGGCCCTTGATTCATTCCACTTGATCCTGTCCGGCGAATAGAGATCAACGGATTGTCTCTCCCGGAGCTGTAATCGTATGTGCGAAGGTACCTGTCCTTGATGTAGTACAAGGTTCCCCCATGCACTGCATAGGCAGGTCTTTCCCGTTCCAGCTTGAAGACAATCATACCGCTGTCATGGCCTGCCGCAAGAAGGTTCATCTCCGGATGGGCGGCTAGAATCCAGAACCTGTCGTGTTCTCTCCTGAATGTCTGCACACCAATTCGTTTGGACATGTCCCACACTCGTATGCTCTTGTCTTCCGAGTTGGAGACAATGATGTCTTGTCGAGCGTGGAACATCACGCAGGACACGTTGTTGACATGCCCACGAAGCGTGTCCACCTCCCATGCCTTCGTATCTGTGCGCCAACACACCGTCAACAACGAGCACAAGGGCCCCCAGTACAGGTTTATATACACGAACAAACATGTACAACAGCAAAACACCCACCACACACCCACACAGTCCTCACAATACTTGATAGCCCTGCTCAGTCTTTCACATGCACAGACATCTACTTTGTCATGGTGTGTACAAAATTTCATGAACCCTCAGTGCACAACACCAAGGAGGCTTCGCCGCCTGACAGTTACCAGTGTTAGCCCAAAGACCGATCCATGGCAGCACAGCCCTTTACGGGACAACAAAAAAGAAAAACACAGAAAAGAAAAGGAAATGTATAATAACGCACTCCGGTGGGACAGCTAGAGGTACATCCGAGAGAAATGTACAAGAGAACGCCGGTGTCGAATTGGATTTGGAGTAACAAGTGAAACACGAACAACTTCGGAACACAATGCCGAAGAGTAGTAGTTCATCGATTGCCCAAAAAGACTTCGACAATTAACAAAACACAAACAATGCAAACAAGAAGGGCCTGAATTTGCCTAGAACAGTAACGACATAAATAAATGGCACTTGGACACACTTAAGATAAATAATAAAAGCATAACGACTAACAATACAATGTACGAAAACATCGGCCGGAGGCAACACTAACGAACGCTGTCACTTTCAAGTGCACCTAGACCAAATTCTGACCAATCGACTGACTAAATAAAAGGCACGCTGGAGCAAAATCAACGAAGCCCAACCATCCTTTTGCGGTCATTCAATCAACACCACAGTCATTGTCTGTGTCACCACGTGGGAAGCCATGACAACAGTAGGACCTCGTTGACCAGGGGTTCTACTGATTAATCCCCCCACCCATGATGCAAGTGCTTGACACGGACCAACGAATAGAACTCGATACATCCTAACCACCGTTAAAAAAATAATAATAAGAAAAAAAAACACGCCGGTGGTCAGTCAACCTGTCAAGAAGACAGCTGCCTAGGGTGAGAAGCTTGTTCACTACCGTCTTCCCCCGAACACAACGCACCCTCATTTTGACTGTATCGGGCCGGAAACATGTCTTGCATACGTTCATTTTCAGGGTGCGTTATGTTCGGGGGAAGACGGTAGACTTCTAAAGAACGTATTTAAGCACAAGTACTTCAAAACGAAACGTTCATTTTCAGGGTGCGTTATGTTCGGGGGGAGGAAAGACTTTTTTTTTGAGGAGGGGCTTACAACGACTCCTTGCGGAGGAAACGTTTTTTTGAGGAGGGGCTTACAACGACTCCTTGCGTTCATTTTCAGGGTAGCGACCACGAAAGCAGAGCAGAGCAATAAAAATGGGTAGCGGATTCGTGTATAGTCGGTGCGACTAGGCTTGTTCAACGAGTCCCAATAGAAGAGCTCTTCAGCTCATAGCTTTCGTGGTCAGTCCCAATCATGACGGGGAAAGAAAAGTAGGAAATCCGACACGGGATGCAAAAAAACCGACACAGGATGCAAAAAAAACGACACGGGATGCAAAAAAAACGACACGGTATGCAACAACCTACACATTCAACATACCCCCCTTTTCCTTCACACAAAATAACCTCAGCCTCAGCGCTTAGAGACAATAAGAGGACTGCCGGAGCTGCGCCATCAAACCCTAATACTAGATGTAGGGTCGTCGTTGGCAAACAGGTGGAGCTCGCAGAGCAGACATGCTGTTTGGAGAAAAAGGGAGAGGGGGGAGGGGCAGACGGGATATGAAGGAACGGCGAAGACGCCATTGCGCGGTAATATACACATCCACACAGAGGAGGATTCCCCACAGGAGCGACAAACCGTTGACTGGAGCAAGGTCCCCTCGACGCCTATCCAAGCGAAGAAAAACGAGGTCCATGATGATCAGATTTACAGAATAGTAAGAGGAACCGGTCGCTGCCGCTGACTGGAAGACGGCCCATTGAGACCTTCATATATGAGATACACAGACCTTGCTGCTTCATCGACCTGCCCCTTCCAGTATCGCCACGTCGACACGGTACACTCAGTTTAGCGTAGGATTCTCCGGCGACACAAATCACTCCAAAAAAGCTGGAGAAAACACGCAGAGAACATAAACATAAACATAAACCTCTCTCTCTCTCTCTCTCTCTCTCACACACACACACACACACGCAAACAGTGCTAATCGGCGCGGCAGTCGCCCCCACCGCCGAATCCTTTTGTTCCGCAGGGCGATAAAACAGTTGCTGCGACATCCTCTCTCTCTCTCTCTCTCTCTCACATACACACACACACACACAGAGGGCGGAA